CCGTCCGCCCGACCCAGAGTCGTTACCGCGCGATTAAGTCGCTTTCGGTACTGGCGCAGACTTAGAAGGACCCGAGAACGCCGCGCCGTGCCGTTGTCTTTCTGTTCCCTTCTTCCCACGGCACGAATCAAAATAAAATATCAAATTCATGGAATCATTGAAAGCTTTCTAAGCTATTTTTAGTGATGTTTCTTTACTGATGAGTAATTATGAATTTTTTCTAGAGTCTCGAAAAGGGATCCGTATTATCAAAAACTACTTAAGAGTATTCTATAATGGGAGGTTGAATATATGTTTTGTTTTGCTTCCGTAATCAGAGGGTTATAGAAGCAAGAATCGTAAAGCTGAAAAACAATTCTGGAATACTATGTGCCAACGCGTTAGTTTACAGATTAAAAAAAAAAAAAAAAAGCCATCTGGAAGTTCTACTGGAACCTTCCTCTTCTGACTGTCCATCCTGGGATGTGACAGACCAGTCAGTCACAGGATGAGTCTCACTGAAATGAGGGACGGGCAGGCATACCTCGGAGAAACTGGGGCTTGTGTCCCAGACCACCGCGATAATGCCAATAAAGCAAGTCACGTGGACATTTTTCCGTCCTCGTGCATAAGAAAGTTACGTTTACACTATACTGTGTGTACTGTGAAGTTTGTTGTCATGTATGAACAACTGTGCATGTGTCTAAAACAATATACCTGATTTTAAAAATCGTACTGCTTGAAAAAAATGCTACAATCATTGAGCCTTCAGAACATCCTAATCTTTTTGCTTATGGAGAGGAGGGTCTTGCCTTCTGTTGCTGGCTGCTGATGATCAGGGTGGTGGTCACTGAAGTACGGGGTGGCTGTGGAAATTTCTTAAAATAAGACTATGATGCAGCTTGCCGCATCACTCGAGGCTTTTGTGAGTGTTCTCCTTAGCATGCAATGATGCTGCTTGATTTTATCCACAGTAAAACATTTCAGAATTGGTGTCAGTTCTCTCAGACTGCTGATGCTTCATCAACGGAGTTTATGTAACATTTCTTTGGTTGTTTCAACAACGTTCACAGTACCTTCACCAGGAGTAGATTCCATCTCAAAAAACCACTTTCTTTGCTTATCTATAAGAGGCAACCTGACATTCATTCAAGTTTGAGCAAGGAGACTGCAGCCCTTCAGTCATATCCTGCAGCTCCCCTTCTAATTCTAGTTCTCTTGCCGCTACATCTGCAGTTACTTCCTTGTAACCAAGTCTTCCGGGTCTTGAACTCCTCCTGGATGGGTGGAGTCAACTTCTTCCTATCCTGTTAATGAAGATGTTTTGACCTCCTCCCATGAATCAGGAGTGTTCTTAATGCCTTGTGGAATGGCAAATGCTTCCCAGGAGGCTTTCAGTTTCTCTCTCCCAGATCCATCAGAGAAATCACTCTCTGTTAGTTATAGCTTACGAAATGTATTTCTTAAATAATAAGACACCAAATCAAAAGTGCTTCTTGATCCACGAGCTGCAGAATGATGTGTTAGCAGGTGTGAAAACAACTAATTTCAGTACATGCCATCAGAGCCCTTGAGTGACCAGGTGCATTGTCAGTGAATAATATTTTGAAAGGAAATCTCTTTGCCTGAGCAGTAGGTCTCAACAGTGGTCTTAAACTGTTCATAAACCATGTTGTAAACAGATGTGTTGTTATCCAAACTTTGTTGTTCCCTCTGTAACATACAGGCCCTCGGATTTTCAGAATTGCAACAGAGTGTTGGCTTCAAGTTAAAGTCCCTTGCTGTAATAGTGCCAAAGGAGAGTCGGCCTGTCCTTTGAAGACAAGCATCAAAACCTCTGTAGATATGAAAGTCCTAGATGGCATCACCTTGTAGATGAAAGGTGTTTCATATACATTGAAAATCAGTAGTGTAGTATAGGTGCCTTCCTCAGTAAACTTACCTAGACCTTCTGGATAACTTGCTGCAACTTCTACATCAGCACTTGCTTCACCTTGCACTTTCATGTTGGAGACAGCTTCTTTCCTTAAACTCCATGAACCAACATTTGCTAGTTTCAAACTGTTCTTCTGTAGCTTCTTCACCTCTCACAGTCTTCATAGAATGAAAGAGGGTTCTGGATTAGGCTTGGCTTACAGGAATGATGCAGCTGGTTTAGTCTTCTCTCCAGACCTCTAAAACTTTGTCCATATCATCAAGAAGGCCCTTTTGCTTTCATATTCTTCATGCATTCAGTAGAATAGCCCTTTGGACTGCCTGCAAGAACTTTTCCCTGGCGTTCATAGTGTAGCTGACTGGTGCAAGAGGCCTAGCTTTTGACGTGCCTTCCTCCCTACGCTTAATCATTTCTGGCTTTTGATTTAGGGTGAGAGGCATTCAACTTTTCCTTTCATTTAAATACCAAGGCAGTTTTGGTGTCATTAATTAGCCTAACTTAATTATTCTTGTGTCTCAGAGAGAAAGACACGGAGAGACAGGTGGTCAGCAGAGCAGACAAAACACAACAATGACTAAATTTACTGTCTTTTGTGGACACAGTTCATGGTTCCCCAAAATGATTATAATACTACATCAAAGAATGATCACAGATCACTGTAACAAATATAATAGTAATGATGGAAAAGTTTGAAATATTTTGAGAAATACCAAAATGCGACAGAGACACAAAATAAGCACGTTATTAGAAAAAGGGTGCCAATAGACTTACTCTACATAGGATTGCCACAAACTTCAACTTATAAAAAACATAATATCTGTGAAAAACAATAAAGAAAGTGCAATAAAACGAGGTATGCCTGTACTGTGTGTTGAATAATTCTCAGGTCTGAGTTGGGTTTTTTTGTTGTTTTGTTTGTGTGTCTTGTTTATCAGTGCAGTATCAGTATGGGAAAATTAGAACAAACCTTTGCATGCGTACTATATTTAGCATATGCTAGGAATTCTCACATCCCTAATCTTATGTATTCCTGTGACCCTGCAGAGTACATAATATCCCCATTTTATAAATAAGGACAATGAGTCAATGAGAGTAAGTTAATTTAATGGCCATTTGATCTCCAGATCTGGCAACAGATTCCAACATAGATATAGACGGTGCCAAAAAATACATATACACATTTTAAAAAAGGAAAAAACTATTAAATTTGTAATACTCAAGTCCCATTTTATTTCTGTAATTACAAGAGATGCTCAACATGACTGGTATTCGTCTTTCGTTATCAGTATATATTGAGTATTAAAATTTTAATACAGTTTTTAACTTTCTCAAAATGTGTATACATTTTTTGGCACCCTCTGTATATGGGATTTCCAAAGGTAATTTTTAAATGATAAACTGTAATAAATTAGGTGATTATGCTTTCTAACATTTCCATCATTTATTCTTGATGAAAAAAAGAGTCTGGTGGGCAGCGCCTGTGGCTCAGAGGAGTAGGGCGCCGGCCCCATATGCTGGAGGTGGCAGGTTCAAACCTGGCCCCGGCCAAAAAGTGCAAAACAAAAAAAAAAAAATAATCTGGTTATACACAGTTGTATGCGCAAGAAATAATTTGGAATGTTTTTGAGCTCTGCTACTTGAAGATGTAGAGGTTCAAACTTCATCTGCTATATTGATTCTTATATTATAAAAGTCAAGTAAAAAATTAACTTAAAATAGTAATCTGTTATATCTTTATAGTTTTTTTTTTTTTTTTTTTGAGACAGAGCCTCAAGCTGTCCCCCTGGGTAGAGTGCCGTGGCATTACAGCTCACAGCAACCTCCAACTCCTGGGCTCAAGCGAGTCTCCTGCCTCCGCCTCCCAAGTAGCTGGGACCACAGGCGCCCGCCACAACGCCCGGCTATTTTTTGGTTGCAGCCGTCATTGTTGTTTGGCGGGTCCGGGCTGGGGATTCGAACCCGCCACCTTAGGTGTACGTGGCTGGCGCCTTAGCCCGTTGAGCTATAGGCGCCGAGCCATCTTTATAGTTTTTTTATTTTTGAGACAGAGTCCTCACTTTGTCGCCCTCCATAGAGTTCTATGGCATCACAGCTTACATTAACTTCAAACTCTTGGGCTTAAGTAATTCTCTTGTCTCAGCCTCCCAAGTAGCTGGGACTATAGGCCCCTACCACAATGTCCAGCAATTTTTTTGTTGTAATTGTTGTTTAGCAGGCCCTGGCAGGGTTCAAAACCGCCAGCCTTGGTGTATGTGGCTAGTGCCTTATGGCCACATACACCAAGGCTGGCGGGTTCAAAAAATTTTTTCTTAAAAAACTGTTTTTCTTTTACATTAGACAGGTAGTGTGTCAGCATAGTAACAAGATTTGAGGAAGGCATATTTCTCATGGGTGTGAAAACCCAATCATCATGCTTATGAACTACAAAAGGATTTGTGTAGATTGCTTTGGGGCCCATTAATGAGATGTCTGAATTTTAACATCTCATTTTAATATTGAAAATTACTCGATTGATAAAATTCCAGTTCTTCAGGTGGCATTTATTGAATTGAAATACTTCTCTTCCTACCACACAGTAATCCAACCAGCAGAGATGCCAGATGACTACCTTGGAAAAGGCAACATAGATTTAGAGCCCGAAGCTACTACTTTTTAAAACTCCACAAATTATCAGCAGTTTAGACAATGTCTAAGGCATATGTGGAAGGAAAGGGAGAGTAGGAGGCAAAAAGGAAGACTTGGCATATCATGAGAAAAAGTATCCTCCCAGCAATTGCTTTAGTTAGATTCTTCTGAACAGTCTGTAGGTGAAAGGCCCTGGAATCCAGCGGTACTCCAGCAGTCAGTGAGTAGTTAAGAATAACCATCAGATGATTCCAGATTATGTATTGCAACCACAGTTTTCCTCCTCAACACAAACAGTATGTGTTAAAATTGGCAAACACGTATTCTAAAGCTCACCGATATCAATAAGTCTAAAGTACTTATTGCTCCATTATCCAACATATTCCAGAGGACATTATATCTGAAGATAGCTCCACCTCTAGAGGCAAGAATGGTAATGTCTAAAAAATAAGTGATATATATGTTCTAATCAGTGCCAGAATATTCTTTTGATAATGCTACTTCTGGGAACATTAAAAGTTGTGAGTAGTGTTCCCAAAATTTGGAGGAAAAACTCCATGTCTTGGAATGTTTGCAGATTGTATACTTTTGTCTTATGGCCTAAATCACTGGAACAATTTTATTTCAGTAATACAACTGCTATTTATTTTATTTATTTATTTATTTGCAGTTTTTGGCCATAAGGGTTTTGCCCAACTAATTAAATTAACCCAGCCCAGCCAGGGCTGGGGTTTGAACCCACCACCTCCAGCATAGGGGGCAGTGCCCTACTCCTTTGAGCCGCAGGCACCGCCCAAATACAACTGCTATTATTGCATTATGCTCTGAACTTTTTCTTATAGAAGATACCTGTATAAATATGCTTAACTACATATTTCTGTTATGGATGTGGGCTTAAAGGGACGGAGAATCAATTTAGAAAATGAGAAGAATGAATAAGGGAAACTTAAGGTATGAGCTATTAAGACGTATCTCACAGTACTACAATAATTAAATCAATGGTCCTGATGTAAGTAAAGATAGCATGATGGAATGGGAAACAAATTCCATAAGTAGCCAAGCATGTGAGACTATTTTGTATTTAAAAGAACATTTCAAATCTGGAAAAACAATCACTTATACAATAAATTGTCCTAGGACAGCTATAGAAAAATAATATTGGAGACTTAAGATTGAAGAGTTGTAGAAAAATTAAGTTTACAACACTGGGAGAAAATACATGACTATTGTAAAATCTTGACAGGGGAAGACAACAAAGGAAAAGATTGGCAGATCAAACCCTTAAAAATTAAAACCATTTTTATTTTTATTTTATTTTTAACATTTTATTTCGGATTAATATAAAGGTACAAACAAGTAACAAAGTTTGAGTTTCAAAACCATTTTTAAATATCAGAAAATGAGAAGGCAGGCCGACTGCAGCGGCTCACGCCTGTAATCCTAGCACCCTGGGAGGCCGAGGCAGGTGGATTGCTTAAGCTCACAAGTTCAAGACCAGCTTAAGCAAAAATGAGTCCCTGTCTATACTAAAAATAGAAAAACTGAGGCAAGAAGATCTCTTGAGTCTGAGTTGGAGGTCACAGTGAGGTATGATGCTGAGTAGCACTCTACTCAGTGCGACAGCTTGAGACTATCTCAAAAAAAAAAAAAAAAGAAAGAAAATGAGAAGGCAGATGACAAAGGGAAAATATTTGCAACTTATATGAAAAGAAAAAGTTGTATATGAAATAAAGGTCAGTATCCCCACTGAAAAATTAAGGATAAGCACCAACAGTTTACAAAATAAGAAACACAAATGTATAAATCAAATCCTTAGCCAAGCGTGGGGCGGGCGCCTGCAGTCCCAGCTATTGGAGGAGCCGAGTCTGGAGGATCATTTGAGCCCAGGAGTTGGGGGCTGCACTGCACTGCAGCCTGGATGGCAGCGAGACCCTGCCTTCAAAAAGGAAAGGAGGGAAGGAGGGATCCTCCTTCAGAAGGAATGACCTGGCTGAAAATTACAATTTGCTAAGATTCTTCTCCAATTTGAAAAGATTAGAAGGAATTTTGGAGAAAAGTGTGGGGAAATGAATTACTAACAGACCAGTAATGGGAGTACAAATTTGTGTAATGTTTTTGAGGAGGAACTTAGCAAAGTGTATAAAAGCTTTGGATGTATATTCTCTTTAACCTAATACTTCCATTTTTACATTGCCAACATAGTCCATCTATTAAATATAACAGAAGACACTTATCATTTTTTTTAGATGCCCAGAATCTGAACCTCCTTTCTCTATTTGTGGTATTGCCCTGATGAGAGAGTCTTGTCAGGGTATTTATTTTAGTTGTCTGATCACCTCCTACCTATCCCTACAAAATGTAAGTTCTATAAAGATGGGTAGTGTGTTCCCTCCTGTATCCCCAGTGTCTAGAACTGGCTAGAGCTCTTAGTAGGTATCCCGTAAAAAGAACTTGAAAGGTAGGAACTAACTTTTCCAGCCTCACTTGCAGCTAGGTTGTGGGCAGATGGCTTGGACGTGGTTGGTTAGATGAGTCTGTGCTAGATTTGGACTTGGGAATAAAGATGTAAAATACCGGGACCTGTAGAAAATTATTACCCTGCAATAGCGTTTAGGAAGATGAAGGTCCATGGCCTACAAGGCAGTGCCACAAGCTTCAGAGTGGTGCTGGGCAGTGACTTGAGACTTGTTCTGTTGGCGTGGTTTCAGACCTTGCTCTTTATATAAATCAGAGGCTGCTGTCCAGCCTCCCTGAGGTCTCTGGGAGCTGCTTAGTACTCATTTTTAAAATTTTTATTTATTTAATTTTCAAATTGAAATATATATACAAAAGAATATATGAAATAAGTATTGTTTAAAGGTAAACATCTGTTTACTCTCCAGATTTAAGAAATAAACTACCACCAGTACCTTAGAAGCTTCCTGTTTATCTTGCACTGACTACAAATCTCCCTTCACCCCCACGCCCACAGGCGCTGCTGTCTTAAATACTAGTCACTCTCTTCTCTGTAGTTTTCCCTACATGTATTGCTAAACAATATATTCTTTGATTTTGGAATCGTAGCATATGATCATAGCTTGGATCTTTCCGTTTTTAGAGTCATACACTGCTTACATTCAGCTGCTGTACCTGTTACCACGTGGTGCCCGTCAGGACTGGTCAGGGCCTGCGCTGCCAGATGTTACGCACTTTGAAAATCATCCCTGGATTCACTCATTTGATATGTATCTCGTATGACATTTTATTACATGAATCTACTGTGATTTATTTATCTGTTCCACAATTGGTGAATATGTGAATGTCTCTAATTTTTTGCTTTTATAAGCAATGCTGCCATGAGCGTTTTTACACGGGTAACACGCCTCCCGTTGGACATGCACAGGATTTTGTGTGTACCTATGACATATACCAAGGCATGAGATGCTAGGTCACTTGGTATGCACGTCTCCAAATTTACTTGGAAATGTCAGACTGTTGCCAAAATATGTGTATCAATTAAGACTTCCCCCAGCTGCCACCTTGCTTCACATCCTTGACAACATTTGATACCTTCTGGCCTTAAATTTTTTGTCAGTCCAGGGGGTGTGACATGGTATTCTAATGTGGTTTTTATTTTCATTTGATTACTGAGTGTCTTTCCATAACTTTATGGACTATTCATGTTCTATAAAAATATTGGTTTATGTCTTTTGCTCGATTTTCTATTGGGTTATTTGTAGTCTTTTTTACTGATTTATATAAGTTCTTTAAATACACAGTGATATGAATTGAATATGTGTTTCCAGTTTGTAGCTTGTCTTTGTATTACCTGATAATTCTTCTGTTGAACTGAAGTTATTCATTTTAATGCAGTTCGATCATTTTGATAATGCTTTGTGTGAGAGAGTCTCACTATGTGATGCTTGGTAGAATATTGTGGTGTCACAGCTCACAGCAACCTCAAATTCGTGGGCTTAAGCAATTCTCTTGCCTCAGCCTCGCAGTAGCTGGGACTACAGGCGCCCCCACAGTGCCTGACTATTTTTTTGTTTTTGTTATCATTGTTGTTTAGCAGGTACTGGCTGGGTTCAAACCGACCAGCCCTGGTGCATGTGGCCAGCATCCTAACCACTGAACTACGGTGCTGAGCCAGCTTTGTGCTTTTAAGACATCTTTTCCTATATGGAGGCCGTAAGGTCTCCACTATTGTTTTTAAACATTTTCAGTTCTGCCTTCCATGTTTGAATCTTTTCTTAGCCTGGATTTTTTGGTTGGTTGAAGGTGGGGATCCAGTTTCATTGTATTTTCCATGTGGATTACCACTTGGCCTTGTGTTATATAGTCCCTCCTTTTCCTACCAGCCTGCAAATGCAGTGTCATGTATCAAATTCCCATGGATGTGTGATCTGTTTCTAGGTTCTTTATTATGTTCAGTTCTTTATTCTTATGCCAGAACCACACATTCTATTTTTTTCTTTTTTTTTAGACAGAGTCTCATTATGTCGTCCTCAGTATACTGCCATGGCGTCACAGCTCACAGCAACCTCCAACTCTTGGGCTTAAGCAATTCTCTTGCATCAGCCTCCCAAGTAGCTGGGACTATAGGCACCTGCCACAATGCCCAACTATTTTTTTGTTGCAGTTTAGCTGGCTGGGGTGGGTTTGATCCTGCCACCCTCAGTGTATGTGGCTGTCTTAACCACTGTGCTACAGGCACTGAGCCTGCATACTTTTTTTTTTTTTTACTGTTTTTATGATAGCAAATTATATGAATGTAAAATTTGCCATTGTAGCTGTATTTAAGTATATAATTTGGTGGCATTAATTGT